CACATCAACATCAATCATAATGGTACATTTTGAGGTAGCCAATAATTCGCGGATCAATCCTCTAAAAATAAATCTTATTTGCTTTGCTATGATTGTGAGAAACCAGGTCATATGATACGAAAGTGTAGGAATAAGTCTAACACCGATTTTAGTCTTAGCTTGATTGAAGAGGAGGATCGGTGGCTGTGATCACTATGATAAGAGCATAGATTAACCTTACTGGTTACTCTGAATAGAAGTAAACTCTGTCCTCACCTTCAATAAGCGGTGGGTTACCTCAACATAAGTCTCATGCATTCTCAATTCTACTAGTTCAAAGTTCTAGAAGAGGAATCTTCAAACAAGCATTTCGAGTATTTATAACTCGTAATTGAAAGATTGGCTCATAGAGTTTAAACTTAAAACTCGACGTAGAATTTACCCCTTTACATAGTTATGTAATTTCAGAGCGATCTGAATCTGCGATGGCCCTCCTTTCAGAGCTCAATTTATTAGTTGCACTTGTGTTAAGTAACCTATATTTTCATTGGTGGAGAACATGCTCGTTACGTGAATCCGAGAGCAATCAGAGGTTTGAGTGAAATGAAAGAGTTCGGTGTAGGGGCTTCCTTCTTGTCTCGTGGTTTAGGTTCGAGTCTGGTCGATGTAGAAGACTAAACCTTGCTAGTTTCTTTTGTTAAGTAGGAATGCATATATTGTTTTCACGGTCAAACTAACTTCAGCAACAGGTTAAGTAGTTTCTATATTGTTTTATGAATTTGATTGTGAATGACGACATCTCTTGACGTAGAAACTACTCTTGTTGCTTCATATCACGAGGGCAATCTTTTCATTCGCACTGACAAGGTTTACTTCATAGAATCTGGTGATCAGTTCCCAAACTGGATTTGAAGGGTGCACAAGATAATGAAACAGGTGACAAAGAACTGCCTCTTAATCTGAGAACAATTTGTTTGCCTCCTGTTTGAATGACGGAATGAGGAAGAAGGAAGGCATGAAGTATTAATCTGATAGCATAATCAACACAGGGCACTCTCCGATGAAATGAATGGCTTTCATCACAGTAGAAAGTAGAAACAATAATCTCTATCCGCATAGACTTACAATGAAGTCGGCTCTGCAATCTGCTTAAGCACGACTTTTCATCAAACCCCGGAGAAAAGAGACTATTCATCAAACTGTTAGTGAGGGTTGGTTTGGTTATGCAACCTTGGTGGCTACTCTGTGAAACTCTTAACAGACCCAGTTGAGAAATTAAGTCTTACCCAAATCTGATGACAACCCAGTAAGATTCCGAGCTTCTTCTCAAACTGGGTGCCGTTTGCACGATCGCCCAATCACATCTAAGAACGACCATTTCTGATGAACAATTGGTGCACACTAATATCTTGTGGACACTGATAAATCTATGTCGACAAAATTGGTACACTCTAATCCTTCATCTTGTCATTAACAAGCTTTAATCCCCAACTCACATCTTCACACTGCACCACAGGTGGGTCAAGCCCTACTCCAGTATCAACTACAACCTTGGCCCTCATATCATAGCTAGGAGGACGAAGAAAACAGGGTTCCGAAGAAACTGCCCGTCTACAAGCCGGTTCCAAAGGTTTCTCCACACTGTCCTTCGAGTTCGGGATGTTCAGTATCCATGGCTTCAACCCTCCGATCCCTTGAGCCACATACCCAAATGTAGACCAAGGGCTTGTCACTAAAACGTCACACAAACTCAATAGATACATATCAGCCAACGCCTTCATGTTGTGAGAGCTGTTCTTAGAGTGCTGGCTGCCTTCATGGCTTGCCTGGTGGACACCAACCACTTCACCACCATCTACAGCCCCGCTTGTCCAGTACATGAACTTCATCTCCTCGTAGAATTCGCTGTACAGCGAACCGATCAGGACAGCCTTTGTCGTCGCTGGCGATGCTGTCTTGTTGTAGCCGATCAAGGCTGAAGGAGAAGTTGTTGGCTCTTGAAGTTGTGGCAGGAGGTTTTCCTTCTCTGTGCATTGCCAAATCTGCTTCATCACGAGCGGAATCGGGCTCGACGTCGTGTTGAAGACCCGGATCTGAAGACCGATTCTCTCATCTGCTCTGGCCAGGTAAGCATCGAAGAATCTGGTGATGAGCCCCCAGACTTGATTCGAAGGGCTGAAGAGATATCTCCCCAAGTGGTGGAAAACCGTCTCCCTGTCAGGAAACAGTCTCTCCAATTCTGGCCTGAAACGAGGCATCAGGTAAAGGTAAGGGATGAAATACTCATCCGATCTCAGAGTGAGCCAGGGGACTCCCTGGAGAAATTGCTGGTTCTCGTCCTCGAAGAAAAGCTTGTCGCGATTGTTGTAATTGAAGGAGAGATAGAGATGGAGAAATGATGGCGGTCTAGCCAATTGTGTAACATTGTTGTGTCTCATCAGGAAGTCGCCAAAGCTATGAGCTTGGCGGAATTGAGCAGTGTAGAACTCATTCCTGAAGGGGAAATCATCAGGCAAAAACCAGGTGGAATTCTGAAAAGGCTCGCAGAAGAGGCCGGCCATGCCGGGTCTGAAATCGACTAGAACGGTACGATTCGTGAGCAGAGCATAGAGGAAAGCAGAGGAAAGGCCCAGCATTCTGTTTCCTAGGCCATGTAAGTTAACTGTGTAGACTACGTATCTGCAGGGATCGGAATCGGTTTCATTGCTGGGAACATTCTTCCCGGTGACCAGCACTTGTAACGTTTTGTTGAAGGGTTCAGAGAAAGGCTCGCAGTTTTTGTGACGACGTTCATAGTCGCGGAGCTTGGAGAGGAAGTAAGGAGATGGAACAGGGGATGGAGATTTGTGGTAAGAGGCCTTCTGCGACCTGCTGATACAGGATTGATCTAGCGGTGGTTCTTGTACAGAGGAAGAGTTCTTATTATCTTGGATTGGGAAGAAGAATTTCTGGGTGGGATTGGAAAATGGGGTTGGGAATATGATGATGCTGGCTATGATTAAGATGGACATGGCAGAGAGAGCAGTTACCGCCATTGCTGTGAACTTGTAGGAGGAGGTGGTGACTTCCTCTGAACTTCTCCCCATTTTCTGATGAAGTTAAATTGGACAACTTGATCGGTTTAGGAGATGGGTTGGTATGAGTGTGGATATTTGTCTCAGAATTTGTAGTGTTTACATGAAGTGTTCCATACGAACTCTTTTGTGAATCCTCGTTGGAGTTGCCAATATGTTTTGGTTTATTAATTTGTAGCTATACTAGGGACAGGTTCGTCGCCGGCAATGACTTCTTGGTTTCTCTATTCTCCCCCGATTGAGTTTCCAATTTCTGTGAATCATATGGAGGGTGCATCATGAGACGGATTTGTTGGATATCGAACTTAGATTTGGAAGTGCTATGGCGTAGGAGAACCGGGGTTGAACGACATCGGGATGAAGATTCGGCATGCGCTATGTTATAAAAACGATGAGAACATTTAAAAATTTAGTTATTATTATTTTTAAGACGAAGAACTCTTCCGGCAGGCAACACCCCAAGTGAAAGTGATGTTGTCGACGTCGTTAGGATGTATCAATCTAAAAATGAGTCAATTTGATCAATTGTCTCGTTTTATAAACGAGACAATTAAAACAAGTCAATTCGAATTACCTGTTCCCACCCAGGTAATTGAAATTGACTCAAAACGGATCAATTCGAAATATCTCGGGCAGATTAATACATTGAAATTTTTTGCTGGCAAACGAGGCAATTTGGTACAATTGTCTCAAAACGAGACAATTGTGTCAAATTGATCCGTTACAATTCCTCATCCAAACTAACCCTAAGTTTTTGATAACTAGTAAGTAGGATGCTACTAGAGAGAACACCAAACAACCTTCATAATTTTAGAACCGTAAACAATCAAACAACTGAATTTAACCGATTATAACCTTTGATTACACGACTCATTGGTAGTTACTATATTTTGATCCCTCAAAATTTGTACGCATTTATATGGTAGTCTCAAAAGCAACTTTAATGTTTAACTAGCAAAAATCCGGTCACTATTGCTTCGCGTATTAGAAAAATAAATATTTTAAAAAGTAATAGTTTTAATGTTGACCCAAAAGTGGAAGTAATCTGATTTCATTCCTAATCATTCTTTTTTATAGGTTTGTTATTTACAATAGCATATGGTTGATGAACTTGCATAATGTATAAGGTCGTCGAATAAATTATTTATGTTTAAACTTCTATCATGATGCTAATGTTTCAATTTGTATGGCTAGTAGTAATTGATCCTGCTGTAACTTTAGCATAATGAAGCAGGTTCTCTGGATCTTTTCAAGAAGTATTTTTTTTAAAAACTGTTGAGTGTTTAGCCGAAAAACTATCAGAATTGCTTTATAATATAAGAGGTAAGGGAAAATGACTAAAAAAGATTTCTAGATAAAATATGAATATAAATTCTAAAAATAAAAAATATTTAAAATCAATCAAGTTAGATTTAGTAATATTAAAAATAATATTTTTCAATTTATTTTTGGTTTAATTCACCTACATAGTCATAAATTTCGCGTTTTTGACAATAATAGCCACTTTTTGGAAAATACACAGTTGTAGCCACATTTTGGAAACTCGTTTGACAAAATTAGCCATTTATGTTAAAAACTTTAACACCGTAGTAGGACGCTGATGTGGATGCCACCTCAGCTCCCACATCAACTCCAACACATGTCCAACTAGGCTTGTCATGCCACTTGGACGCCACGTCAACTTAAAATTGAGTTTTTAGAAAAAAATAATTTAATTTATTATTATCTTTTTCTTTTGCTATCCCTACCATTCACTTCATCTCCTCTCCAGAGCTTCGATTTCTTCCTCTGCTACTACCACCATCGCCGTCAAATTCCAATCGAAGGGAGAACGACCCCTCTTCGCCAAAGAAATCGGGAGATGATCTGAATTGGCCCATTAATAACCCGCTCGCCACTGTGCCAGTGCTCAGTTGTGGCTTTCCTTTTCCAGATCTAGTCCTTCTTCTACAACAACCACGGTCGGCCTGAATCGATCCTCGCCCACGGCTTCCCCTTCCCGCTCCAATGAAACAAGCTCACCGGACCCGGATGCAAATTCTTGCACAGCCCCCTGTAATTGTCCCTTCCCAGTCCATGCTCGTTCCTCCGGTGATCCACCAACGCAATCTCCCTTGCAAAAACGAGCAGGAAAGGCAGCAGGGAACCCATCTCGTAGATCCTCATCCTCTTCTGGAGCTCCATCCACTCCACGATCCTCCTCGTGTGCCCACCGACCCTCCACCGCACCAGATCGATCACCATCACACCCATGTTGAAGTAGCAGGCGTTCCTCCCCGCGAAAGTGAGCGACAGGGATGAGTTCGACCAGAAGGTCGGGGTGAAGTAAATGGTGAACTTGGCATTGTAGTACTCCGACGCGACGAGGGGTTTACCAAGGAGAGGGGTGGCTGCGAGGTCGTCGACAAGAATGAGGTCGGATTCGTGGTAGAGGACTGTTGTCAAGCAGGTGGGGAGCAGCATCGGGAGGTAATTGCGGGCGTAGTTGAGAGGGGAATCGAGTGCTTGTCCGATTGAGGTAAAGATTAGGCCCTGGACTAGGGAAGCAGCGAAGATGTGGAGCTGGCAGCGTAGGTAAGGGAAGGAGCGGAGGATAGTTTTGTGGAGGGAAGGTAGGGAGGAGATGAAGTGGAAGCGGATGTCTTCCGGGGAGGAGGAGTGCTGGAGGGAGGAGAGGATCGCTTCCATGGAGCCGCGGAGGCAGTGGAGGTCGAGGGGAAGAAGTTGAAACTCCTTGTCGGAAGAGTGAGCGGGGCAAGCAAGCAGCGTTAATTGGATTTGGAATACGGGGTTAGGGATTTTGGAATCTGAATTTTTTTATTCTTGCTATCCATTTGGAGAGAGAAAGAGGAGTTGTTTGATGGAGAAAGGAGGCGACTAGCCGCGAAAATAGGGCTTTTGCACCTGCAGCGGTCGAGTGCCCTTCCAATGGCGGAGAAGAAGAAGAGGAAGAAGATGGATGAGTGGTCGGCTGAAGGTGGAGGGTTCAACGGAAGAAGGAGAGAATATGAGGTGGGTAAAAAAGGTAAAGTGGCATTTTGCTCTGTTTTTTATTTCATTTATTAATTAAATAAAAAAATATGGATGTTTTCAACCTGGCAATGACGTTAAATAAAAAATGCCACACTAACTGCTATTGTTAGTCCAGTCAGTGGGTTAAGTGGACCGTCAAAGAATTGAACGGAATTGGCTATATCTGTGTATTTTTCAAAAAGTGGCTATAATTGTCAAAATCGTGAAAGTTATGGCTATGCAGGTGAAATAAACCTTTATTTTTTTATAATGATATAAATGAAAGAAAGTTATATTTTCTAGAAAAATAATAATATATGGTAAGGACAATTTTGTATTTTCAAATTAGAGGACAGGGGTAGTTTGGCTGTCCTCTTTTACAAAAAACTTCAGCTTTTAAAAAAACGAAACTTTAGAGGTGTTTGGCTTAGTTTCAACTTCTGAAATATAAAACTTCTAAAATTCGAGCCAAACATAGTCGTACTCTTTTGGCCTATTTTCGGGTTTGAGGTAATCATGGTTCTCCTTTATGAAATTTTTGGACTGATTGAAGGTTTGAGTAGGTTCAGCTTGCATTGATCGAGTCAAATTAGGTTGGATATCCATGGATTTGGGTTCAATTGTCTTTCTCAAACAAAAGGAAAAAGCGAAATAAAAAACACTAAAGCTAAAACTCGCTATCGACACAAAACTTGTCGATACCAAGTTCAATTCACTTTGACTTGATTGGACCGAGTTTTGGACAAATTCACACCTGACACAACACGCCAATTACAAAAACTATTAAAACTGGCTCTCGCTGAAAACCTATAAAATCGGGTTCAAGTCGCTTTGGTGGGGTTGAATTAGGTTATATACCCATGCGTTTGGACTCATTTTTCATTCTCAACCAAAAGTAAAAATATAAAAAAATACTAAAGCGGATAAAACTCGCTCATGATCCCAAACTCTCAATACTACGTTCAACTTGCTTTGATCGGGTCGAACCAGTTTTAACAAATTCACAATTTACCCAACCTGACAATTATAAAAGCAGATAAAATTCGCTCTCGATACGAAATGCGTCAACAATTGGTTAGAGTTCAATGGTCATTCTCGACGAAAAGAAAAATGAGAAATAAAGAACATTGAAGGGTACAAAACTTGCTTTCGATCTAAAAGTGGTAAACAATGTGTTCAACTCGCTTTGAACAATTTTTTAACAAATTAACACTTGGTCCAACTTGTCAACTACAAAAGAGGATAAAGCTCGCTCACAATACAACACTCGTCAAAACCTTAGATTCGGATTCAATTGTCTTCCCAACCATAAGAAGAAGAAAAAAAAAAGAAATTTATAATTTCTAAAGTCTGTTTTAAATTAACACTTGACCATATTGAATTAGGTTGAATACCCATAGCTTGGGGTTCAATTGTGATCATGCTCAACAAAAAGGAAATAGTGAATGAAAAAAACACTAAAGCGAATGAAACTTGGTCCCGATACAAAACTTGCCAACATTGAGTAGATATGGTATGGATTTTCGGTAGCGCCATTGGGTTCAATTGTGATCAGGCTCAACAAAAAGGAAAAAGAGAAAGAAAAAAACACCCAAAGAGGATGAAACTCGATCCCGATACAATCGTGGTAGCGGCCTTGGAAAACGATGGTGGGGATCAACTTAGGATTCCGCCGACAATATTTTGGGATGGGCTGCAAAATGGCGAGCAAAAATGATGATTTGTGTTCAAGTTAGAATGCACATGTGTTTGAATTCAATTTTGATCATGCTCAACAAAAAGAAAAAAAAAACACTAAATAGGATGAAACTCGGTCCAGATATAAAACTCGTGGTAGAGACCTTGGGAAACGGTGGTGGGGAACAACTTAGGAATCCACAGACAGTATTTCGAGATGAGCTGCAAAATGGTAGGCAAAGGCGATGAATTATGTTCAAGGTAGGATACCAATGTGTTTGGGTTATTCAACAAAAAGGAGAAAAAAGAAAGAAAGAAAAAAGCACCAAAGAGGATGAAACTCGGTCCCGATACAAAACTCGTGGTAACGTCCTTGAGAAATGGTAGTGGAGAACAACTTAGGATCCCGTCGACAGTATTTTGAGATGGGCTACAAAATAGTGGGCAAAGGAGATGATTTGTGCAAAAAGCGATAGGCAAAAATCTAGCAAACAATAACTAAACAAAAAGGCGATGATTTGTGCAAAAATCCACAGACGAACACCTAGTGAACAATAACTAAACACAAAGGTTGTAGAATGGAGAGTGGGGTAAAAGAAGGACTTGAAACTTCCCCACTTGCACTTGGAGGAGTGTGAGTAAGGATGGCAATGGGTCGGGTTGGGTCGGATTTTTTCCGAACCCAAATCTAAACCCATGGGTTTATCCATCAAATAAACCCGGGGTAAAACCTACTGGGTTTGGAAAACTCAAACCCAACCCGCTAGGTATCTGCGGGTTCATGGGTACGCATGAGTTTTTGTGGTAAAAAAATTACAATAACAAATTCCTAGCAAAATAAAATTCAAACATCAATTTTTCCATACAAATTATCCATACATAAAACATCATTCTAGAAAATTTAAACATATCACAATTAAACTAAATAAAATCACAATGAATAAGTGTAGTGAGAGTTACATTGAAGGAAATTAGAATTAGGGTAGGGTTTGGGGAGAGTAGGGCGACGAAATACGTATGGGCGGGTATCCATGGGTCAGGTACCCCTAAACCCAAACCCAACCCAACTCAATGAATAGTGTACGAGTTTAAATCCAAACTCGTCAACGCGGGTTTTACCCGCATTGACCGGGTTGGGTCGGGTAGGGTACCCGTGGGTTCGGGTTTTGTTGCCATCCCTAAGTGTGAGATCCATTAATGAATAGTAACTTCCATTTATTAATATTAATATTAATTAATGGGCTGCAAAATGGTGGGCAAAAGCGATGATTTGTGCAAAAAACATAGATGAAAACCTAGCGAACAATAACTAAACACAAAAGCGATGATTTGTATTCAAGTTAGGATACCCATGTGTTTGGGTTCAATTGTGATCATGCTCAACAAAAAGGGAAAAAAGAAATAAAAAAACACTAAATAGGACGAAACTCGGTCCAGATACAAAACTCGTGGTAGCGGCCTTGGGAAACAGTGGTGGGGAATAACTTAGGATTCCACTGACATTATTTCGAGATGGGCTGCAAAATGGTGGGCAAAGGCGATGATTTATGTTCAAGGTAGGATACCCATTTGGGTTACTCAACAAGAAGGAAAAAAAATAAAGAAAAAACACTAAAGAGGGTGAAACTCGGTCCCGATACAAAACTCGCGGTAGCGGCATTGGAAAATGGTACTGGTGAACAACTTAGGATCCTGCGACAGTATTTCGTGATGGACTGCAAAATGGTAGGCAAAGGCAATGATTTGTGCAAAAAGGCACATACGAAAACCTAGCGAACAATAACAATACACAAAGGCGATGATTTGCGCAAAAAGTAATAGACGAAAACCTAGCGAACACTAACTAAACACAAAGGTTGTAGAATGGAGAGTGGGGTAAAAGAAGGACTTGGAACTTCCCCACTTGCACTTGAAGGAGTGTGAGAGCTACTAATGAATAGTAACTCCCATGTTAGACTTTTATATATTGATAGACGAAAACTTAGCGAACAATAACTAAACACAAAAGTTATAAAATGGAGAGTGGGGTAAAAGAAGAACTTGGATTCAGTGGCGGAGGCACGATCCGAAACTACCCCTGTCCTCTTTTCATAATATAAATATATAAATAATTAATAATTAAAATTAATAATATCCAAATAATTCATTCATAAATAAATAAATAAATAACCGAATGATACAATTATTGTTTGCATAAATAACACGACGAATTTTCATATTATCAAAGAAATACAAAATACATTCATTGTTTACAATCTTAAGTGAGCCTCTTTCAATGTATTCCATTAAATAATCATTAATAAACTTATCATCAATTCGACTTTGGAACTTTCTTAATATAGCTTAATCTAAATGCTCTTTCTACCTTTACAGTTGCAACTGGTAGAATCAAAACTAGTTTCAGAAATAAATAACCTGACTAATATAACTTATGGACTTTTGTCTCCACCATAATCCGAGGTTATTTCAACAAAAATTTTCAATCCACCAAATGTCTCATCAACCATAACATAATGATAATACCCAACAAGATGTTGTCGAATAATAGTGTCATGAATGAAATAAATAAATAAATAGTGTAGTGTCAAAATATACTTATGTTACTTGTAGTGTTGAGTTTGATCCTTAGTTCAAACATATGTGGGTTATTTTTTCCCATCCAAAAAATTACCCCTGTCATGGGACAAGAGCAAAACCCCTCCCTCCGCCTATGCTTGAATTTTCTCTACTTGCAGTTGAAGGAGTGTGAAAGCCACTAATGAATATTAATTAGTCTTTTATATATTAAAATTAATCCTGAATTTTTAGAGCATAATCTACATTCTCACGTATAATGGGGGCTTTGGTAGGATTTGAGTGTTGGCTTGGATTGAGCGTGTTCTGATAGTGTGAGTGTCTTAGCCCGGCTGCAACAAGGATTGGTCGCCTCGTTTGGATAGGTCCAGTCGTGGTGATGCCTTTCGGTCATTGGGAGTTACGATGCCTTAGTTTGGATAAAACTAAAATTGCCCCTTGACTTGTCCGTTTAGGGTTTGTAGAAGTAGTGGAATTCTTTCCTACCTTTGTAGGTTTTGAGGGTTCTTCAGATGCCTGACGGTTTGGCAGTATTCTTGATAAAATCTATTGATATATAAAAATAGGAGGATACACAAAAATATTATTTTACTTTTTGTCTTTAGTATACCCCACAAAATACTATTTTTATATAAAGAGGTTTATTAGGCAATTTTCATTTGTGTAGCCAAAACTTTAACGTTTGTGACAATAATAGCCATTTTTAGGGAAATACCAATAATAGCCAGAGTTTTGAAAGTTTGATGCCAATAATAGCCATTTCCGTTACATAATTTAACGGCGTCAGTGACACCGTTAGTCAATTTAACAGAACGCTTAACTGGTTGCCAACTCACCCTCTCTTTTGTTTCCACCTCAACAATCACTGACAGATGGACTACACGTCATTTACAAAAATAAAAATAAAAATATTCTTCATCAAAATATTCTAAATGAAAATGTGTTATCTTATTATTATTAATTACATAAAAAAAGAGTTGAACTATTCGTCTCTCTTAATCCCCTTCTTCATCTTCTCCGATCCAACTCTCTTCCCCCTATTCTTTCGAGAATCAAATCCAGACATCCAGTATCTCCCTTGATCTCTTCTGTCTCGTCCGATTTTTCACCTCCGATCTCGATCTGTGAATAATGAAAAAAAAAGTAAATAAACAAATAAAACAAAAACTAAAAACAAGCACCTGTGCTGGTCGTCGAGATGCTTCAGCTTCCTCATCTGCCACCGCCGGAAAGATCGATTCGACTGTATTCTCTTCCTCTCCACCTCGTCCATCACCAACCTCCAGCGAAAATCCCTCCGCCAAAAAATCCAATTCAAAAGCTAGAAACAATCGCAATCGCGGATCTGGAAATGGAGAACAGAACCCAGAACTCTCGTCTTCCTCTTCCAACACTTCGGTTGGTGAGGCCAGATCTGGTCACGCCCGCATCTTCTCCGCAACAACTTCTCGTTCTTCTTCGTCGAGACAGAGGGCGGCAGGGGGACACCATACAAAATTTCAAGTCGTCGCCGGAATCGCCGCTAGTGATAGCAAGATCCGCCACCTCCGGAATCGAGTGCGGCTCCATCGAGAACACTCGCCTCCCGTAGATCCATCTTGGTCGCCTCGCCTCCCAACCCTCTTTCCGACATCGAGGAGGGTTGGTCTCGGTCATGTCGGCGATGAGGATTGTGAAGGAAGGAGGTGGAGAGTTGGGGTTGGCGGCCCATTTCAGGGCTTGTGTGAGATTTGGGGTTGTGCTCGGCGGGTGGTACGAGGGGATAGTCACGATGAAGATGAGCGACTGTTGGGGAAAGGGGAAGAAGGAGATTGGGAATAACCTAGAACTCGTCTCCGAATCAGCACTCCTCTCCATTTTGTTTCCTTGCTCTCCAAATCAGCACTCCTCTCCGTTGAAGCAGCCATTATTTCTCAACTGGGGAAGAAGGAGATCGGGAATAACCCAGAACCTCTGAAAAGGGGAACCCCACAGTACAAGTCGCCGCCAAGGAGAAGTGGATTCTGAGATTGGGGATTTGGCAAAAGGGGCTCGACTTTGGGATTGGGAATCGTAGGAGTTTCTCTCGTCGTCCAAGCATTTTCGCTTGCGGCTGCTCTATCGTACGTGGCGAGGCCAGTGGCTCGCCATCACCACCGTCGTCGTGAGGAGGCAAATCGAGGGATATCTGGAATGGGGAGGGATTTCAATCGGATCTGGGCATTTTTGAAGAGAGAAAGAAGACGATAGAGAGGAGAGGAGAAATATTTTTGTTTGTGTTGTTATCATTCTGGCCTTCTGGGAAGAAAAAATGATTAGTCTTTTGTTTTTCGTTGATGGCGAAGAGAAAAGCAGAAAGAACGACGGCGATTTCGAAGATGGGATAGGAAGGTGAACAGGCGACAGTGAGGCTGATATTATTCTTTTTACTTTTTATAATTTTTATCTAATTTAATTAAAGTAAATAAATAAAACTGTAATGATTTTCCCCCTGACATTATTTTCAAATAAAAAATGCCACGCCAACCGTTGCTGTTAGTCTAGTCAGCTTGTTAGATGACACCGTTAAAGAATTGGACGGAAGTGGCTATTTCTGGTATTTCTCCAAATTTGGCTATTATTGGCAAAAACGCGAAAGTTGTGGCTATACAAGTGTATTTTGCCGGTTTATTATACTCGTTTATGTCAGGGTTGGCATCCATGCATTCATGTCATGTTTTTTATAAACTAGATATGCATCATATATATATTTTTTAAATCAAATATGCCCACTCGCTTGCACTTCACGAAAAGTGAAGAATAGCATTGTAATTGTGTCGTATGAAACAATTAATAAAATATAACTCATGATATAATTCCAAAAAGGCAAGAAAGATCACTAAGATGACGTGCGAGAGAATTTGTAGTAACATAATCTTCACAAAGGGGACTGTGGAAGGAGTTTCAGTGGTTGCAGAGATTCTCAAAAATTATACTGGTGTCGGGTTTAAGGTGTAACCCAAGTAAAAGTGAAATTTTTAGCGCAGGGGTGCATGCTAATATGAAAGCTAAGCTAGGGAACAAATCTGGATTCTAGCAAGGCATATTGCCTGTCAGATACTTAGGTCTTCCTTTGAATGCAGGGAAACTCTCCTCACTAGATGGCAAGTCGTTGGTTGACAGAATTGCAGGGAGGATTATGGGGTGGAAACCTAAGCTACTAACTTATGCAGGAAAACTTGAACTGGTTATGTCTGTCCTAGCTAGCATGACCCAGTTCTGGATGAATGTCATCCTCCTGCATAAGAAAGTCATTAAGCAAATAGAATCTCTTTGCTCACAGTTCCTTTGGAGTGATTTTGAAAAGAAGAAGAAAGCTAAGGTCTCCTGGAAACATGTTGCCTTACCAAAAATTGAGGGTGGCATGGGGTTTAAGGATCTGTAATCCTGAAATAAGGCATGTCTGGCTCGTCACATCTGGGGGGTTCTCGCTGAGCAAGATACACTTTGGATTGCTTGGATCAAGGAATATCGGCTTAGGAATCTGAGTATATGGGAAGTGAGCACCAGGGGGTCTTGGGTATGGAATAAAATACTCAAGTTAAGAGCAGAATTCTCAGGGAAAATGTACAAGACAGATCAAGGGGTGTTTTGGGAGGATGAGAAGTGGCCTAGATTCCAGATTAGCAAGATTTGGAATAGCATCAGACCAAAGGGTGAATCTGTGAGTTGGTCTAAACTAGTGTGGCAGAGTGGTATTCCTAAAAATTCAGCTATCACATGGTTGATTATGCTTGACCGAATAACAACTCTTCATGTGGTGAGACGTTGGAATCCAGAAGTTGATATGAAGTTCCCTCTATGTGGACAAGAACCTGATTCAAAAAGTCATATCTTTTTTCTGTGTAAGTATGTGCAGGAACTCTGGTCTGTCGTGTTCCCAGCGTCCTAGTCCTTCCCAGTTTCAAGAACCCTGCAGCAGGCAGTAACAGCTGGACGTCAGAGATTCAAAAAGAGTTTAGTAGGCAGAATGCTTTGGTGTCTGGTGTTGAGTGAGATCTGGAGGGAACGGTGCAGGAGGCTTTATGGAGGCAAGCAAATGACTGTTATCGAAGTCACAAGGAAGATGCAGCAGGTGATGGAAGCAAAGGAAGCTGGCGACCCTAGAATTGCAGAGTCTGTTTCAAGTTCTGTATTGTGGTATAAGAATAGTAACTAAAGGGCTTTGTTGAGTGGTAGATGGTAGTGTAGTTAGCTCATTTGGTTGGTTGGTAGTTAACTTGTTGTTGTCAGGATGTAAACTTGGTTGTTGATCATATTTGATTAATAAAAATCTCGCCCATTCATCGAAAAAAAGAATTTGTAGTAATATGCACTCTTTGACCAATTAATTTACAAATTAGCGGAGGGCAATTTACATATTTGGAACTAAAAAACTAGAGAGTTTACAAAGTTTTTGCATTTGAAATGGAAAATAAGAAAGAGAAAAAAATGAAGTAATTTAGCATTTGGTTTCATTGGTTCTAATACCACTTTCACCATTTAAATGTAGTGCGAGAAAGAGATAAGTAAGAATGCAAAATCAAATACGAACAAAAAGGTCAATTTCAAGTTTTCAACACAACATTAACAATAACAACAACAAAACACATTTAATGAATGGTAACCTATGTTAGAAGATTTCTCCATGATTTCCTATTTGAGCTCCAGTGAGAGAGATGACTAAAGATGGAAAATCTAGTACTTTGCTTTGCACATCCCTGTTTGAAGTTGAAGCTATAACGTTACTTGAAGCTTTGAAACTTTCACAACATTTGGATCTTCCTTCCATTATCCGCTCAGACTGTCAAGTCCTTGCCAATGGACTTTCATCTCCAGCGTCTTCTTTCCCTTGGCAGGCTATGTGGGGAACATGATTTCTATTTTGAATTTTGAATCCACTGATCGCAGTCCCTCTCTTTAGTAAGAAGTGGAATTCAAGAGCTAACTGGGTTGCCCATTCTCGTGCTCACAACTTTTTTTTTTTTTATAACGAGGAACACCCTCCACGGTCACCACATTTTGTGGTGCCGTAGTCGGGCTAAACCCCGGGACCTCCGCCGGCGGTCCGGGTGATAGCGGGATGCCTCCGGGAACACCATGGTGGCGGTGAGGATCGAACCTGGGACCTTATGGTCACCAGTTCTCGTGCTCACAACTGCCTCCCTATTGATTGGATTGTTTGTTTTTCAAATAATTTTGAGCTTCTTTGGTCAGAAAATGTGTATTTTACCAGCACAGCAATGTAGAAGAGAATCTTTCATACATGTTAGATCCTCTGTAATCAACAAAATGGCAAAGCTATCCATTTTCCATTTCTCACCTACCCCTAAAAACTCTACCGACGTTGCGTTTTATCCACCGACGATCTTCAGCCCCCACGACACATCCTCACACCGAGCCACAGGCCCAACAGTCCCCGGCTGATCAGGATAAGCAAACCACGGCGGGAAATGGAAACACGGCTCGATATTGACTGCCCGTTCACAGGACGGTTCATCAGCCCCGCGGGGATGGTACGGATCAGGAATCATCACAATCCATGGCCTCACCCCTGCAATCCCTGCAGCCACATACCCAAATGTCGACATGCTACTCGTCACCAACACATCGCTCATACTCAACAGATATATATCCATCCACGCCTTCATGTTGTGCGAGTTATCCCCAAAATGCTGCTTCCCCTCGTGGCTCGCCTGGTAAACTGCAATCCCGCCATGACTTCGTTCACCGTACATCGAATCGATCTCCTCGTAGTACTTGCGCGACAACGATGCAACAAAGATAGACTTCGATGTCCCGTTTCGGAGGGGCACCTCGCTGGATTGCGGCAGGATTCTGTGTTTCTGAGTGCAGGACATGATCTGTTTCATCACGGCCGGAAATGTGGTCTTCTTAGGCTCGAAGACTCGAATCTGGAACCCAATTCGCTCCTCTGCTTTGGCTAAGTAAGCTTTGTAGAATCCGGTGATGTGCTCCCAAGCTTCGTTGGAAGGGCTCAGTAGGTATTTCGCCAAGTGGTGGAAAACGGTTTCTTGATCGGGAAACAATTTCTCCAATTCGGACCTAAAAGACTGCATCTGGAAAAGGCAGGGGATGAGATACCCATCATGTACTAGAGCCAGCCATGGAACGCGGTGGACAAACCCTTGATTCTCGTCTCTGAAGAACAGCTTGTCGTAATCGTTGTACTTATCTTGGAGGAAGATCTGCAAGAGGGCCGGAGCCGAAGAATCGAGGAGGCTAAATTTCCCCTCTTTCTTCTGCTGATCTTCCTCCTTCTTCTGCAGCAAAGTTCCAAAGCTGTACGCTTTTCTGAATCTGTGCGATTGTAACTGAAATCTGAAAGGAAAAGTTTCGGGCAGGTACCAGGTGGAGTTCGGAAATGGCTCGCAGAAGAGATCTTCCATGTCGGGTCCGAATTCGACGAGGAGGACCCGATTCGTGAGCAGGGCGTAGAGGAAAGTGGAGGAAAGCCCGAGGATTCGGTTCCCCAGCCCCTGGGAAGGCGCGTACACGACGAATTTGCAGTCGTCGGTGCGAAACTCTTGAGGGTTTAGTGTCGGGTCAGACAAGGGGCCGCAGCGGCGGTGGAGATCCTCGTAGTCGCGGAGCTTGGCGAGGAGGTAAGGAGACGGTTGAGGGGATGGGGTTCTGTGGTATTTAGTAGCGGAGTAGCTGTGGTGGTCGCGGCGGCTGTCGCAGGTTGGATCGTAGATTCTGGGCCGCCGGGAAGATAAGGCTATTCTCAAAGGAAGGTAGAAAAATGGGCTTTCCGGGGAAAGGAGGGCGGCAGCAAAGAGAAGGGAAACGACGGCGAAAGCGGCCACTAGTATGAGTCTGAACTTGCCGGAAGAAGATGAATTGAGGAATTCCGTTAATCTCCTCCCCATCTTGACCCTAACTGTTGCTCTTCTCATTTCGTTGGCTCCTCTTCCCATCTTCACTTTGATACTGCGAGGACGGAGATGGGTTAGGTGGAGAAATCGAAGAGTATAAAAAAAAGGAGGCTGCAGTTTGTCTGGATTCAAGTTTCGAGATGGGCCACTGTGCAAGCAGACCAACTAGGCGATGCAGTAATGGAGTTGAATGACTGGTAATTTTGCAGGCTGCTTTTTTCTTGGGAGGATGGCGGAAAAAGAAACAAAAATTATAGGGTTAATATTTTCGTATGGTCTGAACTTTGATCAAAATAAATATCATGGCCAATCTTTTCGATCTATAACATTCTGGCCCGAACTATACACCAAAATAAACAATTTGGCCAGATCCGACTTTTAACCGTTAACTTGGACGGTCAAACGCGTTGACCGTTAGTCAACGCGCCATGTCACTGCCAAGTCAGCATAAAATATTTAAAATAATTCACAATTTCCACACATTCCCTAATTTTAAATTATTATAAATTAAAAAAAATCATCTGATACTTAGTTAAACCAAAAATAAAAAACGGAAAAATTAAATATTTATCAGATCTTAAGACTTGGCAGTGATGTGGCGCGTTGACTACCGTCCAAGTTAACGGTCAAACATCGGGTTTGGCCAAATTGTTTATTTTGGTGTATAGTTCGGGCCAGGATGTTATAGATCAAAAAGATTGGCCAAGATGTTTATTTTGGTCAAAGTTCAGGCCATACGAAAATATTAACCCAAAATTATAAGTTATTTTTTTTTTTTGTTTTGGACTCGCTGTCGCTGTAAACGGGAAGTGGAAATATCAAAATTAATAAGTAATAACAAGTTTTGGCTATGGGAAGCAAAAGGCTAACTTTACCTTTTCAAATTTGGTCTCCCTTCTCTCTAAAAAGTCTCATTTTTTCAGTCGTTCATGGTTGTTGCCGACTCCTTCAGGTGACAGGCGGCAGCCCAAATCTCTCTTTTTTCCCGCTTTCTTGCTTGTCTTATTTTCGATGTTCATGCCTTTGTTTCTAGGCGTTTCACCTTTAAGTTTTAAGTCTCTCCAGCTTTTTTGGCATTCCAAATTTAGGATTTTGCAGGTTCAAGGCTTGCTCGTTTGAGGATCTGGAGGTTGCAGCTTGGGAAGCTTGATCTTTGCTTTGTGATGGTTGTTCTTTCCAGGTTGGTGGTCTCATCTTCAAGGTGAAGACATTCTCATCTTCCCCCATCTGGCTTCCCCAAGGTGATGTTGTTGCTTGGATGGTTGTCGGATCGTGGAGAGGTGAGTCATCTCCGGTTGCTATGGTGGAAGTCGGTTCTTTTATGGCGGTCTGTGGATCTCCTTGGAAGCTTGCTCCCCTTTGAACTGATCCTCTCTACCTTGGCCCCCTCTGCCTTCACAGCTTGGAGCAATCTGTTTCACAACATCTTCCACTGTCATGCAATCTCTTTTGAGATTCACTGTGATGGATGACTTTGAGCACTCCCCAGGAGACGGCGTATGGCTTGCTGAGTTCAATGCCACGGATCTCGCTGTGATCGAACAAGCTGTTCTGATCTTCTTGCTCTTGGTTTGGTTCGAAGAAAGAGGGATTATAAATGCTCTGTCTTTATCTCAAGAACTTGTTTTTTTTAGTGATGTCAATTTGTGTTGTGCTTCCCCTGGTTGTATTTTCCCAAGCATGGTTTGATGTCATCCTACGTTCCATTGTTTCCTTGATCTTGTGTTGAAGTCAGGTTTTTATTTTCTCTCTATAACCGATTGTTCAAAGTGCAATAAAGATCTCTTTGTCAAAAAAAAAAAAAGTTTTGGCTATACAAAGGGTACGGATCCCATCAGTAACCAACCATCAGGTGAGTAACCCAATGCATAACCCAATAAAAATCTGCCACATCAGCGCCTCCTTCTCTCTCCTCGAAAAACCTTTAATTTTCCTACCCTTAATCTTTAACAAACGATTTCTCACTCGTTTTAACTCGAAATTTAATTGCAGAGTTAGATTAGATTAATTGTGCTCTTCAAAATGATATCCACTTTGATATTTTTTGAAACAAAAAAACTTGTCAGTTATTACCAGTCAATACCATATGGTACAGACTGTACCCATGTGGTTTTGACTGGTGTTAAATAACAGCATACCATATGATATGAAAAATACCACCCCACACCCGGGTGGTATAGTATAGTATGGAGTTGGTAACGAGAGGTATAAAATTTTTTCACCCAGAAAATTTTAAAATCCAATAGATCATGATTAAATCGTTTCTTCTGTGCAAAAATTTCGGAAAACGACTAAACAACGAAGGAGATACCATATGGTATTGAGTTGGTAACGAGAGGTATTTAAAAAAAATTTCTCAAAAAATATTGAAAATGGATATAATTTTGTAGAGCACAACGAACTTATTCCATCTATGCAAAAAAAAAAATTGAAATCCGAGTTAGAATGAAGAAGATATGATCCAATCAAGAAAACTAGGGAAAATATATTACTTTAATTCTCCACACATAGATCTGCAGACACTTAAAAGAAGGGTCCAGATTTGGTTACTCATAGTTACTTACTCTAAAGTTACTTACCCTATCTTGAAAACTAGGGAAGATATGATCCGAGTTAGAATGAAGAAGATATGATCCAATCAAGAAAACTAGGGAAAATAAATTACTTTAATTCTCCACACTTAGATCTACAGTCACTTAAAAGAAGGGTCCAGATTTGGTTACTCATAGTTACTCACTCTAAAGTTACTTACCCTATCTTGAGCCATATTTTGCCTAATAATAATAATAATAATAATAATAATAATAATAGTTTTTTAGCCGACTAGCTGGCTCGATTATTTTAGCTGATCGTTGTGGAGCGGAGTGAAAAGTTAAAAACATGTGTAAGAGTGAGAGAAGATTTATTTTCGGATAATGTATATTGAAAATGTGAATATAGTATTAATATTATTATTATTATTTTAATCTAGAAATTATTAAATATTATCATATTTTAGATAACATCATTTGATTTATTAAATTAAATTTATATATCTAGACCAATAGGTAAAAAAAAATTTCATAATCCATTCAAATGAATTTTTACCAATCTAATGCACAAAATTACCTAAATTTTCTTTTGTGTTTTAAATTTCAGTTTTGGAAGAAAAATAAATGTACTCATATCCCTATGAATTGTTAGCATCAACTTGACAATGGCTGAATCTCATACAACTTGGAGACCAAGTCAAGATTCAAATTTCAAAGTTTCACAGCTGGAAATATAGTGGCTGCCCAAACCCGGTTAAGGCAAGTTTTCGAGCCAAAGGAAGAAAGAATTAGAACTTACCATACTTGAAGATTTCAAGGGAGAATTGAAGAGCAACGGCTAGATTATGGAGGCTATAAATAGAGACAAGACTGAATCAGTAGGTAACCTTTCAAGAGATCAACAAGGCTAGCTAAGACAAAAGGGGATTTTGTGAGAGTAGCAAAGTTGATAGGAAAGGGGGTTTTCTCAAAGGGTTCGGGGAGAATTGCTTTGAGGGTCAGTGTTGGGGAAACACTGGTTTCGAGTTGCTGGGGAAGCAATTCGGGTTTGAGAAGAGAGTGTTTGATCAATCGGGTTGAGATTGATCAAAGGGTTCTCGGGTAGATAGCTTGTAACGACGAACTTCAACGCAAAATCATAATGAATCGTCGGAGATCACACAATCGTGATTCTCCGACCGTGGAGTAGTCAGTATTGGGATTCTCATTCTCCCAATACTGGAAACCACGTAAAAATCGTGGGCTGTGTTCTTGTTCTGCTTTCCAGTTTCATTTCTCTGTGTGCTACTGTTTGTATTCTGCTCTGAACTTGTTAGTGCAGGGAAACATGCTCTAAGAGCTGCCAAGGGAGACGACCTGCACGAACTGAGTTGGTGAACTTATTGAAACCAGGATTTGGTTTTAGTTGGTATAAATTTTCTGGGTCGATCTACTGTGCTATTATTTGTTCTTGGTGTTCATACCACTGTTTGAGTAAGTTCAGTCACTGAGTTGGTTTTGATCGAAAACAAAGGAAGAGGGAAGCTCTAGTGTTTGAAATTAAAACTCCACTGTTTCAGTTAGTTGAGCACTTGGGCCGGGCGGATAAGTTTAGACGATTGGGCTTTTAATTCTATTGTGTGGTCTGTCTAGTGCTAGCTGCTTGAGTGGACTGTTAAGCAGAAGGTAACGTGCTAGGGTAGGGTTGTCTTGGGTGATTAATTATTTACTTGAATGACCTATAGTTGCACGTAGGAAGCATTAGGCACTTAAACACAACCGAACATTTGTTTTCTTTTGTTAAAGTGATATTCTTTATATATTAACAGTGTGTTTAATTTTGATTAAGCAACATCTTTAGTTAAATCCAAAAGAGATCTAAAGAACAGGGATAAAGTCTCGCGCTCGACGCAACCAACAAGTGGTATCAGAGCACGGTCACCGTAGAACAAGGTTCAACGACCTCCGGTGCAAATCAAAATGGCGTCGGGATCCAAGAATAATGCTCCACTCTATTTGGCTGACGGATTCTCTCAAAATCGGCCTCCCAGGTTTGAAGTAGTTAATTATGGATATTGGAAAAATCGTATGGAATTATTTGTTGGATCCACAGATCCAAAACTATGGGCTAGAGTAATCAAGGGTCCATATGAGCTCAAGGAGGATCAAGAAAAATGGACAGACGAGGACTTTGAGAAATTTCAGCAAAACTGCAAGGCAACTAATCTCATGTACTGTGCACTCGGTCCAGAAGAATATCACAAAGTTGCCGGTTGCAAGACTGCTAAGGAAATCTGGGATAAACTCCAGGTTACTTATGAAGGTACCTCTCAAGTCAAAACATCTCGAATTAATTCCTTAAAACAGCAATTCGAGTTGTTCAAAATGGAAGAAGGAGAAACGATCCGGCAAATGTACGAGCGCTTCACAAACATTGTGAACAGTCTGGAGAATCTTGGGAAATCATATGAAAGTGGAGATCTT